GTGAAGGATTTTTCATCCTTGTTGCTGGACATCCAAAATATGTCAGATGGGGATAAAATGCATAATTTCATTTCCGGAATGCAAGGTTGGGCACAAAATGAAATTTGTAGGCAGAAAGTTAAAGATCTGCCTAGTACAATTGCGACAGTGGATGAATTGGTGGATTTTTGCTCAACGGGTCTAACTTCTGATCCTGCCTCTTCTTCTAAGTCAAGAAAAAAGAGAAGAGTAAGGACTAGAAGAAGGACAACTGGAAGCAAGATGGAACTGAGAAAGACAAATGCAAGATGGATGCTTCTTCGTAAAAAACAAACAGGCCAAGGGGTGGTGAAAAGGTTTGCTGGACATGTCAAAAACTTGGACATCATGCACAAAACTGTCCAAATAAAGCGAAGATTAATGCTCTTCTTGATGAAGAGGAGAAACAAGGAAAGGAACAGGAAGTTGCTGCTTATATGAATCTGTTGCAGCTGCTGAACACTTTGGCTTGCATAACTATGGCGGATGTTGAAGAAAATGCTGCCAAGTAAGAAGTTGCATATGTGAATGCTACAAGGGAAGATTTGGCTAATTCTTATTCCACACTAATGTATGTGGATCTAAAAATCGGAAACAAGAGTGCGGTGACAGTGGTTAATACAGGAGCCACGCATACCTTTGTTGCCTCTAAAATTGTTTAGAGTATGGGCTGCAAGTGACAAAGTGTCCGACGAAGATGAAGGTTTTGAACTCAAAGGTGCAACCTGGTTATGGGGTGGCTGTAGATGTCCCAATGATATTGTGCCATTGGTCTAGAAAGTTCAACATTGCTGTAATGCCATTGGATGACTTCAATGTGCTATTGGAATTGATTTTCTAAAGAAGAACAAAGTCGCTCCAATTTCTCATTTGGATGGACTTATGTTCACGGGGGAGACAAACCCCGGCTTTGTGAAAGGTATTCGGCCCTACGGGGATGAAAGAAAGAATGATGGATTGCTGCTTTGATTTCTGCCATTGCATTTGAAAAAGACTTGAAGAGGGGTGAGGAGACTTACCTCGCTGCACTCGTTGAAATCAAGCTAGATGTGTAGATTGAGGTCCCGGATTGTGTTGCAGATTTGCTGAAGGAATTCAAAGATGTGATGCCTCCATAATTGCCAAGGGAGTTACCACCGAAGAGGGAGATTGGTCACATGATTGAACTTATTCATGGATCACTGCCGCCTGCGTGGCCTCCTTACCGCTTGTCGCCTATGGAACTGACTTAACTAAGGAAGCAATTGACGGAGTTGCTTGATGCTGGGTTGATTCAACCATCGAAGGCTCCATATGGTGCTTTTGCTTTGTTCCAGAAAAAAGCAGGATGGTACGCTGCGGATATATGTTGACTACAGGGCGCCGAACAAGGTGACTGTAAAAAACAAGTACACGGTTCCTTTGATTCATGATCTGCTAAACAGGCTCTCGAAGGCTAGTTATTTTACTAAGTTAGACCTAAGGTTAGGCTATTGGTAGGTTAGGATAGCCGAGGGGGATGCCCTTAAGACCACTTAGGTAACTAGATATGGTAGCTTTGAATTTCTTGTAGTTCCAATGCCCGACAACTTTCTGTAATTTAATGAACAATGTTCTTTACGAGTATCTTGATGACTTTGTAGTTGTTTACTTAGACAACATAGTCATCTATAGACGGACCCTTGAAGATCATTTTTCTTAGTTAAGGAAAGTGCTGGAAAGACATAGAGCCTATCAACTCTATGTCAAGATGGAAAAGTATGAATTATTATGTCGCGAAATAAAGTTTCTAGGTTGTTTGGTTAGTGAAAACCAAGTGTGGATTGATCCAAAGAAGGTGCAAGCAATAATTGATTGGAAAGCACCAAGCGGGATAAAGGAACTAAGATCATTTTTGGGCTTGGCAAATTACTACCGAAAGTTCATTGCAGGCTATTCAAAAAGGGCTGCTCCTTTGTCAGATTTGCTAAAAAAGAATGTTAAATGGGTTTCGTCGGATTCGTGTGACAAGGCTTTCAATGCATTGAAGAAGGCCATTGCATCCGAACCAATTTTGAAGCGCCAGATTTTGATTTTCCATTTGAAGTACACACTATTGCTTCAAATTATGCTGTTGGCGGTGTGCTGGTCCAGGAGGATCATCCGGTTGCATCTGAAAGCATAAAGTTGAACGTTGTAGAGCAACGTTATTCCGCACATGAGAATGAGATGGTGGTAGTAATTCATATCCTTCAAGTTTGGATAGTCTACTTTCTGGAAATAAAGTTTGTGGTAAGGACGGACAACGTGGCTAATACATACTTCAAGACTCAATAGAAATTGAGTCCGAAGCAGTCCCGGTGGCAAGAGTTCTTGGCTGAATATGACATTGTATGAGTACACAAACCTGGAAAAAATAATTAGGTTGTCGATGTCCTCAGTCGCAAAGAGGTATTTGCAGCAACTTGTGCACTTACTCAAATTGAATCTGATTTTCTGGATAGAATCAAGTTATGTGTTGTAAACGATCCATTGTATGTGAAATTGATGGATCAAGTGAAAGACAGGACAATTAAGCGGTATTGGGTCGAGGATGATCTGCTGCACTTCAAAGGGGGAGAATTGTGGTTCCTCAAGGTGTTGGATCGCGTCATTCCCATCTAAAGGAGACGCATGATACTCCTTATGCTGGTTATCTGGGTGTTGAAAGGATGTTGGCATTGTTGTCTCGGAATTACTTTTGGTCGAAAATGGAAGATGGCGTTGAGGCCTATGTGAAAACTTGTCTGATTTGTCAGTTTGACAAGACTGAACGAATGAAGGAAGCTGGTTTACTACAACCTCTACAGATTTTAGAGTTTCTGTGGTCATCCATTTCTATGGACTTTATCAGCGGGATTCAAAAAGTTCATGGCAAAGCATCAATCACGGTGGTGGTAAACAGATTCTCAAGTATGCAATTTTTGTTGTGCTCCAACTGTTTGTTCTTCTGAAGTAGCCATTGAATTATTCCACACGAATGTTGTGAAACACTTTGAGGTTTAAGGGATACGGCGAGTGATCGGGATTTGAGATTTATAGGCCATTTTTGGACAGCATTGTTCAAATTCTTGGGGACTGATTTGTAATTCTTGACGTTAAATCACCCACAAACCAATGGGCAAACCGAATGTATCAATCATCTACTTGAAGAGTACTTGATGCATTATGTGGCTGGTAATCAGAGGAATTGGGTTGAGTTACTAGACAATGCATAGTTTTGCTACAACTTGCACAAGTCTTCGGCAACTGAAATGAGTCCGTTTGAGATTGTGTTGGGAAGACAACCTGACACATCACTGGAAGTTGCTTAGTTGAAATCGGGGGGCAAGTGTCTTGCTGCTTATAGATATGTTCGTGACGAGCATGAGTTGATGGCTGAGGCACGAGACTACTTGAGAAGAGCGTCTAAAATAATGAAAAGGAATGCAAACAGAAATAGGCGGCCTTTGGAGTTCAATGTTGGTGACAAAGTGTTGCTGAAGCTTATGCCATGTATTTGGAAGAAAATTAGTAGCAAGACGCGTCATCTTGGGATGATTCCAAAGTATGAAGGCCCGTTTAAAGTTGTAAAGAGGGTGGGTAAAGTGGCCTACCGGCTGAATCTGCTGGAACATCTCAAAATTCACGCAACTTTTCATGTGAGTTTCCTGAAATGGTTCCATGAAGATGTTGTGGATCCAACAAGGGCGGTGCCAAAGCGTGCTCCTCCTATAGTGCAATAACAATTTGAGGATAATATTGAGAAGATTTTGGATCACAACACACTGTGTCAAAGCAAAAAGAACAGGCGGACAGAGTTCCTGGTTCAATGGACGGGAAAGCAGGAGTGTGATGCAACTTGGGAGAAAGGACCATTTCTATGGAAATTTCAGGATCAAATTAAGGCGTATCTGGATTCTACCTCGTCGAGGACAACGAGCTCATCTGGTGGGGGAAGTTTGTTAGCCCCTCGGCTTGATTGATCGAACATGATATGGGAGTGATGAGGGATTTACATGATGGACCTCGGCACAGCCCTATGATAACAGTGGCATCATGTTGACAAGGCTATCCGACATGGGCAGGTGTTGGTGGGTATGGATTATGGCACGACGACATGTGGCTTAGTTGCCAAGGCATTGGCAAGACCATGGCATTGGCGTGGCCATGGCAAGGCAAAGACAATGGGCAGCAGAAGCATAGCAATGGCTAGAAAAACTAAGGCAAGGTAAGGCAGGGTGTGGCAAGGCAGATGGGCGCGGGCAAGGCAGTGTTATGGGCGAGCTGGGCATGCGGCATTGGCAGACATGCACGCAAGGCATGCTGCACATTGGCATGGCGCGAAGGCATGACAAGGCTGGGCTTGTTGGCGCAAAAATTTGAAGGTTGCGCCTATGTGCCACGTACATGCAGGGCAGTTGGCTAGTTGGGCAGTTTCTTGTTTTTCAGCATGAGTGGCTATGTGGGGTCGTGGGCAGTTGTCTGTTTTGAAATTCGAAATTTGAATTCCTTTACAGTTGGGGATGTCAACTGCTAGGTTGGGATAAGGCTGTGAGCCAAACACGTTGTCTATATATGTATAGGATAGGCAGACTTGTCAAGATAGAGTGTTGGATGTCTTTGGCTTCTTTTTGTAAGGCTTTCATAGTGTTTCTTTGTAGCACGAGTTTAACACAAAGTTGTGAAGTGATTCCTGTAAATTGTGTGTTGTTTGATTTCTGTTGCCTTTTATATTCTAAGTATCAAACCAAAACATGAGGGAAAAAGGAAGAGGGCTGGGTCATTGTGGTGTGAATACCGTGCAGTGCCAGAACGAAAAAAAATTGACCCTATAACAGTACCTATGAGGATCCTTGCCTTTCTATTTGCTTTTATAGATAGCTTTTTCTTCCATAAGGAGTACTTCACAAAAGGGTATGCCCTCTTTTCAATTAAGATGCGAAAGTCCTCACAATATTAATATACAAGGTAGGGATCAATGTCAAACTTGCTTCACGTACAAATGATATTTTAATAAAAATATTAGTATTATGCAGTGTAATACAATGGTTCACAACCTCACATTAAACACCAATATAGAAACATAAAATAAAATGAAAGCAACATAATTCTTCAGGCAAATACTATTAGCTCGACTAAAAAAGTCAAGCTAGAGACTTAATAACAAAACTTATTACATTGTGACATACACAAACACATAACAAAATCACACTAACTGATTGTTGATGCAGTAATTATACTCTGCAAACACAACAAGTCAGTTTCTTATTTATATATATCACTCCAAGCAAATCGTTGAGGCTCTAAAGTCAATTCCTCGTGATTAATGGCAAGGAGAATAGCAATAGCAAGCATATTTTATCCAGTGATGATGTTTGTGTCCCCATTGATATTTCTTACAAATTCCATATTCAGCTCCAAAATAGTGCTTACAGTGGTGGCTACATTTGTAAGAATAGTGGCAAGGCCCATGCCACTTGTGACTTTTCTTCCAGCAGTATTTTCCTTCTGCCATTTGCATTTCTGCATGAAATTGGGAAATTGAAAACCAAGGATATATAAGTACTTGAAATATACTTAACACTTTGTATAATTGTTGAGACATAACATAATACTTCATTAAAAAAAAGGTACTCTCCCTGACGGTATAACCATTTAAATGAGATGATCACATAACTCAACATAATATAAGAGTAGGAAGGAGGTCTTAGGTTCAAATCTTACCGCCACCCAAAAAATATATATTTTTACATGTTTGGCTCATGAAAAAGCAACATACCGACAAATGAAGGTTGCAGTGAGAGATTACATAATAACTAAGTAATAAAAAACGTACTTTCTCTAACAGTTTAAACTTTTAAATGAGATAATCACACATTAAAACAATAACGACCTAACATACTTTGGATGCTTAAACTCAATATTCCCCAACATTTACCTGACATACCAAAAAGGTTTAGCCAAAAAGCATGCTTAAAAAAGTTGTTGACTCACCAGTAGCAGCAACAAGGAGAAGACAGAAGATGAGGGCAATGAAGGCTGTGTATTTAGCCATGGCTAGTATTTTCTTTTGGATATCTTGGTGAGGAAACTGGTAACAAAGATTCTGATATTTATAGCATAAGAAGCTCAATATTGTCAACTTAATTCTTCTTTTGACCAGTTCAAAGATTAAGTCTTACCAAGTACATAATCTAGTATAAAGAAAGAAAAAAAGGAGTATATATGATAAAAGGGACTATGAGAAAGCTAATTTAGGAACTTGAATGGATCAAGTATCAGGATAGTGATGAGAAGATTCCTGGATGAGTTCAAGGTTAATTAAAAGAAAAAGAAAAATCAACGGTACTCCAAAAAATAATAGTCATGTATAATATTTGTATATTAATATAAAATCATATACATATTTTATACAAAATTAATATATATTTCTTTATATATTTGGCTAGCGACTGTAGTTATTTTTGCCGGCAGGAAAAATATGTTAAAAGTCCTTTAAAAAAATATTTAGGAGTTTGAACTGATCAAGCTCAAAATTAGTTGCTTCTAATCAGAATTGGTGTTTGCGACCGTGCACAAGTAGAAATGGGAAAACGAAAATACTAAAATACAAATTGTAGAAAACAATATTATCTTCCTCAAGTACATTCTTTATGAAAAAAATACTGTTAAGCGTGTATCAAGATAGATAAATATTTTAGGTCTATTTGATCGAAATTATACTTCTATTAAAAGTCAAGTGATCCTAAGAAAATGCTACTCGGTCGAGGTAACAAATTTATAAAAGACAACATCAGATTATTGGCTTCAAAAACTCTTGACTAGGCCTAATTTCTCATTTTATTTTTTAGCTTTGACTTTTGGTAAAACCATTTATTTAAAAGAGAAGCCATGGAAACTTTCTACGAAGAAAGTAGTGAAGCTTTTACCAAAAACAAAAGCCATTTGCTTGTTAAGGTGTTTCTTTTTGATAAGGTCCTAAAATCCCGTTTAGAAAGTTTGTGCAATTTGTAGGATGGTTTATATAAACTAACTTTGGAAACATATAATCGCTGTAAAAATAATAGTCAAAAATATATATAAACTTTATATATATTTGATATATATATACATTTTATATGTTATATACAAAATTATACAAATTTTATACACTTTTTCGACTACCAAATATAAATACTTTCTAGTGCGGGCTAAAAGTAATAATATCCCATAAACTTTCACTGACTACGCTATTCCATTTAAACTCATCTAAGGAGGGGACAGAAACTTAGAATTTTTATTTTTTATTTGTATCACATTTCCAATTGTCCTGATCATAAGGGGAGGGGGAAGGCGGAAAGAGTGTAATCTTATATGTAATTAGAATATGTAAAACATACGAAAAATACGATTTTGTATCTCGTGGTCTTAAATATGCCATGTCACTCTTGTAAAGAAGTGCTATTTCAAGGTAATGAAAAAATTGATTAAATATAAAAAGTGGCATTCTTTTAAATAGACTAAAGGAAAAGTAAGATACATATTTTTTGTTGATAAAAGTGCCCAGGGACGCTGATTATTATTATGCATTGAAAGTAAAGGAGTTATTATAGTGCCAGACTGATCTTATCGAAACAGTCCCTAGTTTGTCTTTAGGGAAAGTAGATAAAGCAAATAAATAGGTTCACCCCATAAGTGCTCGCCACACTCGGCAGTAGTATGTGAGTTAGAGTTGCTCACAAACTTCGCTAGAGTGTGCGCCACTTGGTTTCCTTCACGGTAGACATGTCTAACTTTCGGTTGGTTCAGAGCTTCTAACACGAACCTGCAATCATGTAGAAGATTAGCATTAGATTTAGTGTGAGAATTGTCTTGTAGTAATTGTAGTAATACCTGGCTATCTGTTTCCGCTATAAGTTGTAACGACCGGGCTGGTCATTTTGAGATTTCAGAGTGAATTGAGACACTTAGTCTCTTAACTGAAAGCTAAGTTGGAAAAGTTGACCGGATGTTGACTTATGTGTAAACGTCCTCTGATTTGAATTTTGATGGTTCCGTTAGGTGATTTTGGACTTAGGAGCGCATCCGGATCGGGATTTGGAGGTCCGTAATAGAATTAGGCTTGAATTGGCGAAATTTTTTGAAAGTTTGACTGGGAGTGGACTTTTTCATATCGGGGTCAGATTGAATTTCTGGAAGTTGGAGTAGGTTCGTGGTGTCATTTATGACTTGCGTGCAAAATTTGAGGTCAGTCGGACGTGATTTGATAGGTTTCGGCATCGTTTGTGGAATTTGGAAATTTCAAAGTTCATTAGGCTTGAATTCGTGTGTAATTCATGTTTTTGATATTGTTTGATGTGATTTGAGGATTCGACTATGTTTGTATTGTGATTTAGGACTTGTTGGTATGTTTATTGAGGACTCGGGGGCCTCGCGTTGATTTCGGGTGGTTAACGGACTTGGAGTTTGATTTGAGGGACTACTGAAGTTTGGACTCAGCTGGTGTGATTGCACCTGTGGGGGTTTTGGCTGCAGGTGCAATGCCGTAGGTACGGCAGGTGGACCATAGGTGCGAAAGTGAGGGAGATCAGCAAAGTCCACAAGTGTGATGTTTTTCCCCCATTTGCGATAGCGCAGATGCAGATCAGAGGTCACAGGTGTGGAGGCAGCTAGGAGTAAGTGGTTTGCGCAGAAGCGCTCATTTTTCCGCACAAGGGGGTGCGCAGGTGAGAGCCCAGGCTCCACAGGTGCAGAAATGCCTGGGCAGAACCTATTTAAGCGAGGTTCTGAGATTTTTGTCCATTTCTAACATTTTGAGCTCAGATTTTGGAGGTTTTTGAGAGGGTTTTTGAAGAGATTCTTGAGCAATGCTCCTTGTGTTCATTTTTCTTCAATAATTATGTTTCCCCATTGATTTTTCACCTAGTTGGTGTGTTTTTGAGGTGAAATTTGGTGGTTGAGGCTAGGGATTTGGAGAGTGAATTTTTGGGATTTGAATGACCATTTGGTGTTGGATTTTATTAAATTTAGTATGGTTAGACTCGAGAGTGAATGTTCTTTCGGGTTTTGTGACTTTTGTCGAATTTCGAGACATGGTCCAGGGGCCGGGTTAGAACCTATTTCTGATTTTTTCTATAATTTAGTATTTTTCTTGTGCAATTGATCCCCTGGCCTAAATTAATTGTATTGCACTAGTTGTGTCTAGATTCGGGACGTTTGGAGATCGATTTGAGAGGCAAAGGCATTTTGGAGTAGAGTTTTGCCCCAATTGAGGTAAGTACCACTTTCAAACTTGGTTCTGAGGGTTCAAAACCCCGGATTATATGTTATTTGATTGGTATTGAGGTGATGCACATGCCAGGTGACGGGCGTGCGGGCGTGCACCGTGGAAATGTGCGCTGGTCGATTCCATGGCACTGTATAGTGGTTCTATCTTGTTGATATCCGTGTTTTCATCATGTGATAAAGTAATTGAGTTGTCAATCATGCTAGATATCATGTCTAGGACTTGTGCCGGTACTGTTGGGACCCATAGTGGTCGTTTCTTGCTGTCATCTTACTGATTTTATTGATATTTCGTACTCAGTCATATTCATTCATTTTATATCATATCTCAATCTCAGTTATTATTTCTTGATACATCATATCATTGTTTCGGGCTAGTTTTTCATCACATTGTGAGACCGTGAGTGAGACTGGAGAAATTTATGACTGAGTGAGGCCGAGAGCCTGACTATGAGTGACATATATGGGATTGGGCTGCGCGCTGCAGCGGTTATACTGATTTATGATAGTGCTTGGGCTGAAGGAGCCGCCCTCCCCCCGAGTCTGTACATACCCCCAGTGAGCGCAGTTGATATTATTGAGGGATGGATCTTTCCTGAACATGGATCTTGTCCGAAGCATTATATACCTGGAGATGGATCTTCTACACGGGCTGGATTGGGCTTATTCGGTACTGGATGACTGATGGTCAGTGATGTATATATTTTGGATGGATCTTCCCTGGGCCGTATGGTCCATATACAGTACTGAGTGATTGAGCATTTGAGAGTGTGAGCACATGAGGCTGTCAGCATGGCGCATCACATACAACATGTGTATTGAAATGTAGAAGTAGTAGAGTTATATACTTCACATCGTTCAGATTGGATCTATTTTACTGTTTTGAGCCATCTATTTAAATTTGAAAGCATGCCTACATTTTTTGAACTGTTATTTCTATTTTAAACTGTGCCAGTTGAGTTCATCACTATCTTTTAGTCCAAAAGTTGGACTTGTTACTTACTGAGTTGCTTGTACTCACGTTACACCCCGCACCTTGTATACAGATCTAGGTACTTCTGGTCACGGCGGCTGCTGATCGAGGAGTCAGGATTTGAAGACTATCGAGGTAGTTGCATGGCGTTCGCAGGCCTTGACTCTCATTTATTATCTCCATCTGTATTTCAGTTATTATTCCCTAGATATTGTAGTAGACTGTAGTCTTATATAGATGCTCATGTACTCTGTGACACCCCGATTTTGGGATAGATTGTATCGTATTTTGGATTGTTTTTGTTTCAAAAAGGCTTTTTCTTAAATATGAATTGCTTCGATCTTTATTTTCAAAGTTTTTATAGTGTTGAGATGTTGAGTAATGGCTTGTCTAGTTTCACGATAGGTGCCATCACGACGGCTGGTTTTGGGTCGTGACATAAGTGGAATTTAGTTTTTTGTGAACGCAAGTTTCGATCCTTTCAAAAGGACGATGATTTCAGCTTGAATGGGGGATGTGGCCATTGTATGGTAAGAGAAACCATCATCCAGTGATCTTTGTAGTTTTTGATGATTCCGCCTACTCCTCTGTTAACGGTATTTTTTGGTGTGCACCCTCTATGTTGAGTTTATAGAAGTTGTGTGGTGGGGGTTCCATTTTATTTGTGTTTTGGTTATTATGGGGTTTTTGAAGTTCTTATTTATGAGACAGATATATTTCATAGCGTACATAAATATTTTCCTAGTATCAATGTGGTGGGAATCGTTATTGAAGAGGTTGTGTTTGCGGTTTAGCCCAATATGCCAAAGGATAATAGGGGTGATTATTGGCAGATGTATGGAAAAATTGTTTGGTAGCAGGATGCTCGCA